TCGTGAGGTAAAGTCGGTGTTTTCCCGAAAACTAATTCGAATGGAGTAAATTTGTTGTCAAAAACAGAATATTTAAGATGAGTATCCCAGTCTGAAATAGTCTCGTTTAGGTATGCACGTATGTATTCATTAAAAACGCGATAGTTTCGTTCAATTGTGCCCCCTGTTTCGTGATGATGTGCTGTCGAAAAGTTATGATCAATTTTTAAAAGTTTTGTTAGTTCCGAAAATATTTCGTTTTTTTATTCAGTCCCTAAACTGATATGATGGAATTCATTATGCCGTATACTAGTATGCAACTCTCAAAAATAGCAGAAGCGATAGTTTTGGCGCTGTTGTCTGTAACAGCAACGGTTACCAGATACTTTCTCAGATCGCAAATCCTATTGTATCAATTATCACTATTTCAAAAGGTTTGTTTGGTGTTGGCGTTAAAACAAGGTTCTCTTTTACTTTCGGGTTTGCCTTGTTTAGTAAAAAATTTTCACAATTTTTGACGAACTTTTATATATCACGGGTCATGTTTTTCCAAAAATATTTTGTACGTCGTTACATAGATCGTTATGGTCGTTATGATAGATTGTCATAATTTGGCGTGTTTTTCGTCGTTAGTCACAGTTTCAACAGGATCTGTCAATATAATTTGTAAGGTTTTTTAAAATTTTATTTCCGTGATCTTTTACGTTTGAAATTGGAAGGTATTAAAAAAAGTAATATTTGGTTACGATTGTTGTCTACGACTTCAAGCCGCGAAAGTAACTCATCGAAATTCGGGGTTTCGTTAGCAATCGTAAAATTAAGTAACTCGATTTTTTTTTTGTTTTAAGGGTGCACAAACTTAAATATTTGATATTTTATTATTTTTACCATATATAATATTTGTTTTCACCCGAGGTATTTTTTTGAGAAGTTATATGAAAATTTGTCGTAAACCTGTAACGTAATATTGCCATTGCATTCATTATCATACTCTAGTTGTGTCTGCTTCGTTTTTTACCGCTAAAACTTGTTTATTAAAGTCTTTTAGTTCGTTCATTGTAATCCGTGACAATGCGTCCGCTCCGACATTGGTTTTGCCTTTTATCTACTCAATTGTGAAATCGTACTCTGATTTCACCGTATAGTGAGTGCGGTAAACATACGGTCGAAACTGCTTGATCGCAAAATATATAGCTAAATAAAAGTTAAAGTTCGATAATCGGTTTATTCTGTTCTGCTTTATTGAAAGATTTAGAAGCGAAGCATATTGGTAAATCATTTCCATCATGGTTTCGGCTTAATCCAATTTTCGAGGCATCGACAGTAATAATAAATTGGTTTGTGAAGTCTGGGTATTGTAGCAAATTTTGGAGAAATTGACGCTGATTTTAAAGATTCAAAAGCTTTGTCGCACGCACTGTCCCAAATAAATTCAACTTTTTTTCTGGCTAATTGATTTAAAGGCGCTGCCAGAGCCGCAAAAGTTGTAAACCGCCAGTAATAATTTGCAAACGCGACGAAACGTCGAGCCGCATCCTCGTCAGTCGGGTTTGTATATTTTTTAACAGCGTTTGTTTTGGTGTCGTCTGGCAATAGACCTTTGGCTGAACATTTATGTCCTAGGAATGTAACTTTTGGCCGAACAAAATTGCATTTATTCGTTTTAAATTTTTGGGTTGAAGGCACTACATGTATTGAAAACTTTGGACAGATTTTTGATGTGATGCACTTCACTACAACCAATAACGATTAGATCGTCAACGTGAAGAAATGCCACATTGGGCGGAATACCGGAAAAGGAATTGTCATCATACACGAAAAAGAGTTTGGTGCTACGTTTAACTCAAACGGTAATACCTTCCATCTAAATGCTCCTCGGTCGGTACTGAAAGAGGTTATGTCACGTGAATCAACATGTAAGGGGATTCGATGATACCCTGAAAAAAGGTCTAAGGTTGAAAAATACTTCGCTCGGCCAAGGTTGTCTAAAATGTCGTCTACTCGCGCAAGAGGGATCTTATCGGCAATCAATTTCTTGTTAACAGCACGGAAGTTTACGCACAGGACTATTATATAATAACTTGTTAACTTGGCGATTTATTTCTTCACGCTGGCAATATGGTAATCGGTAGAATAAAATATATAGATAACAATATTTCTCAAGCGAAACTAAAACAAGCAAGCCTTCAGTGGGTTATAGGACACAAATCTCAATTAAGCGTAGATAACAAGATGTTGATTTTTAATATGATGATTAAACCATGTTGGGCATATGGAATCGGGCTTTGGGGCACAGCGTGCAATTCCATTTTGAACAGACTTAAAAGACTGCAGTCGAAAGTTTTACGCGAAATTTGCGGGGCACCGTTGTACATAAAAATTACGAATATCCAGAAAGATCTTAATACAAATACGGTGCATGAGGACATACGAGGGCTAAGCAACAGTTACTCAGCACGGTTAATGAACGATCCAAATCGACTAGCGAGAGGTCTTCTTAGCCCGAGATATGCAAGAAGACTAAAAATAAATAATTTTTCCGATATTATCAAATGAAGTCGTCCTTTCAGACCGCCTGCCCAGTACGATATCCAGCGATCCTGCTGCTCGGAATCTTGTCCATTCCGACAGCCGCAACAACTGCAATAAATATATATGTTTAAAATAAAAAAATTTTAAAGCATTGCCGCGGAAATTTTAAATTTAATGGTAGTTTGTAAGATTTGAAAACTTTTTGTTAGTTTCGAAAGAAAGATTCAATAAATAAATACATATTAGCTGCATTTTTTTGTAAGCGAGCGACAAAAGAACGCTCTACTCGGGTAAAATTTCCTTTTAGCTACCTAAGCATCCCTGTTGGTAGCTGGCAAGAAACATGTGATTAGTTTAACGGAATTTAGATACAAAAACCAATTTAAATGAGTAATTATGCGAGGTATTTGCGTAATATATATACTTATTTAAAATATAAGTCTCGTATATAAGGAAACAAAAATTTTCCTCTCCACTTTGCCATTAACAACTCTCAATAGAGCAGTTTTTTCACTTAACAACACTACCCTTCAGGTCGCGTATTTTTTAACCGACCTGGCTGAACTCGGATAAATAGCTGAGATTGTGTTGTTGCTTTGCGTGTATTTCGTCATTTAAGGCTGTGTTCTTTTGTAGCTCGGTTGCAAAAGAATGCACTTATTGTTCCAAGAAAAAAATATATAAAAATTTTTGCGATGTTGCTTTGACTAGGGCTTGAACCCAGGCTCTGCGAAGTCATAGCGCGCACTGCTAACCATTACACCACAGCGACCGCCCAATTACTTGGACATTAAAAAGCAGTTTCAGAAGTGCCATTTTTTTTTTCTTTTTTCTAAACGGTTATAATCAGATACCATAACAAGTATAAGAAATATAATTAAATATTGCTCTATAATTATTACTGAACAATATGCAAGTTGCTTGTCTCTTGGGACGTTTATTTCAAGACGGAAATGATTTACGTCTTCTCGTAATAATTTCATGGGATTTTTATACTTTTTCTTCTCTCGGGACGTTTATTTCTAGACGAAAATGATTTAAGTCTTCTCATAATAATTATATGGGATTTTTATTTTTTTCGTCTCTCGGGACGTTTATTTCAAGACGAATATGAATTCGAGAAAAAACGTTTTAAACATTTGGATTGTAATGGTAACCTTATGGGGAGACCAAAATATGTTTATTTATAACTTTTTAAATAGCCTAGCTGGCGAGAAGGAGATTTCACTTACACATGGAATATATGATTTGTGTTTAATTTCGTGAAATCGGCAGTACACGTACTATTCTATTAAGAGAAAACGCGGGACGTAAACCATTGTCGTCTTGAAATAAACGTCAAGGGAGGGGAGAAAAATAAAAGTCACATATAATTATTATGAAAAGACGTAAATCATTTCCGTCTTGAAATAAACGTCCCGCGAGATGAAAAAAGATAAAAGTCCCACATAATTATTCCCGAGAGACGAGAAGAATAAAAATCCCATATAATTATTATGAAAAGACGTAAATAATTTCCATCTGAAAATAATCGTCCCGCGAGACGAAAAAAGATATTTCTCGTAAATAATTATTATACAAAGACAAAAAAAGTTTCTCATAAAACAAGGCGACGTTTGTGATCTCAAATATTAGGATAATAATTATTTTGGGTCTCTGGTTATAATGTCAGCAGCAAGGCGAATCTACACAAAGTGGTGTTATCGGATCCGCTGAATTCACGGCGAATTTGTACCTTTTGTCAAAATGATGTGTTTGTTGTAAAATGTGCGTATAATTTGTTGTTGTAATTTCTGTTTTTGTTCTGTCAACATCACCTTGTATAAACTCGCCTTGGCCAGCAGTGCATAATTGCGAAAGGAAGGGAGGGGAGGGGGACGCGAACGTGGGTCGCCGAGATGCTGGCCACTTTCAAAATTGTATACTAACAAATCTATTTAACTTGTTCATGTACTACTTTTTGTCAAATGTAACTGGGTGATTACCTACATATGTATGTATGTCCACTATTTTGCTTTATTACTCAATTGTCAAGTTTAAAAGTTGGCCTTATTGCTCAACGAGAAATGAAATAAAGCAAATTTGTCTTATTTCACATTCAATTGGGAAATAACATACATTTGGGTTATTGCCGTTTGTGCTATTTTACCCCTCACGGCGGAACAGTATTAATTTGTAACTGATTAGATGATTTTTTATATTGCCTATATTTTACGTTAGCATAATCATTTCATCAGATGGCATTAGCATGGTTATTATCAGTAAGCCAAGTTCTTTCGGATTTGTGTTGGTTTATACAACCAAAATTGGGGTTGCTTTCATTATTTTCAAATCAATCCACGTATGATGAAGAAAAAATTAATCTCTTATGGCTGTAAACATGATCAATCTACGTATGATTATGCTTGAAATAATTGTGATTCATGCATTTGTTATCACAAATAATTTTGTATCAGTAGAATGCGTCAATGCGCAGCGATAAACAACATCCGTCACTTCGTATTATTACTCATAATATTAACGCTTATGTACGTATAAGGTTCAAGTGAACTGCATGTCTCATATAAATTTTATAGGCTCTGTGATATATTGATATAGGAAAGAAACTTACATTTCGCAGAATTAATTTACCTACAAAACATAGTATATAAACCATCCAAATTCTTATAATTGACTGCGTGCAAGTACCTTGGTGCGTTTATATGATTGTGTACATATATCTCAGTTAATGCACAGTTGATTTTAATCTTTGGTATAACAAGTTAAAATGTTTTATTTTGCAGTGTACACAAAGATTTCACCGAAATATGAAACATAAAATCAGTAAATATAAACAAAACCACAAAATAACTACAAAAAATCAGCATCTCAAACCATATCAAATTTATATGCACAATCGGAGAATAAGCTCAAAGCGATCATCGTGGCTTATTCTTTGAAAAAGCAACATGTCACATTTACCAAACCCGCTATATGGTTTCGCAATTTGTCTACTTGTGTTCTGGTGTGGAACTTGGTGTGTTCATCTTTTGGCCATTTGCTACGGGTAAGCATTGCTTTATTTGCATTTTATACTTATATATAGTATGTATGTATATGTACATACAGTGGGGAGCAAAAATATAAAAATGGTAATTTTTTTTTAATATTAAAATTGTTTCATATTAAAACATTTTCGTTTATATTTTGTTAAAATATTGTCGATGCTATAGCTAAAATATAATTAATCAAAGTTTTAAACCAAAGAAAAAAATTAGGACAATTCTTCAAATTTTCATAAAGTTTAAAGACTAGAAAGTCGCGTTGATTTTTAATTTTTGCTTATGGTCTTTTGTTGTTTTTTACATATAATAAATGCATATTATGAAAATCTAAGCAGAGTTAGTGTAATTTTGTTTGCAAATGATCTTGCGCCTTTATTCCATAAAATTTGTATATTTACATCAAAAACCCAACAAAGACTATCAGCAAACGACAATTTTTAAAAATCAAAGCATTCTTCAAGCTTGCACTTTATTATACTAAAATTTCTTGGGTTATAAAACTGCATACTCAGAAGTGTTTTACAAATTCATATTAAAAAGATGAAAAATTTAAAACTTTGATTAACTGTCATGCGCTCGGGATTGAAAACTCGTCTAGATGGTCGGAAGTCTATATTTCGTCGCTGGAATAATGAAATAGTGTTGCATGAAAAGTATAGTTTTGAGAAAAACGAATTGGGAGTATGTATAAACCAATCGATCGACTTTAAACTTTAATTGTGCGCTTCTTATTCAAAATATTCGCATTTTAAATACACCACACAAAAAATTATGTATCATATTGCCTTAGAAATACCATTTGAGCTGAGCCTATTTTTCTGAAAGCATCTGCTTATACACTATTTTATCCTTGAACATTTTTATATGAAATCATTATACACTATTTTATTTGCACGCGATACACCATTTTATTTCTGATTTTACAGTGTTTGTGTGTGATAATTTTAATTTAAAGTGAAGACAGGACAATAAAACAGCGTTAACGACCATAAGTATGTTATGGTCGAGGAATGAATAAACATATTAGATGCGCGCAGTTCGTATTACTAATAATTTATTATAAGTATGATTGATCCTTATTCAAATTAAAAAGATGGGGCATTCAGATGTGTAATGAGGCTTTCTTTTTTCGAAAAGGGTTGCCGCCTTTACGAAAAATTATAAGATGCGATCTGATCGTTGGACTAAAAAGTGAGTTGTCAAATGAAAGGACTTGGCCTCCAGATGTGCAGTAAGCGCTGTCTAATAAATTATAATGTCCGTTGGTTGCATTAAAAATGTTATATATCAAATGAAAGTGCTTGGCCATTACGTATGCAATTGGGCTTTGTTTCTTTGAAAAGGGCTGTCACGTGTTTTCTCCAAACGCGTATATGTGCATACTTATGTACAGATTCAGCACGTGCGAAGCCTCGGGAAGACAAAAATATGCAAATGCATATCGCATATGGGCATTCCCATGGTGGCGCACGTGACAGTCGTACGATTTCAATGTGATACACAAAAGGAATACCATTTGTTTTCTTTAACTTTTTTGGGCCATTGTATAGCACATAATTAGCTCTATATTTAACCGAAAAATGAAATCAATCGAACTGCTTGGTCCTGAAATATAAGCATTTAAAGAGAGTGTCGTTACGTGACAAAAAATGGAAGTTGATTTTTTCTTTTCTTACAAAATCGCAAAACTCTGCGAATTGTGGATGGCTATTTTCATGTGATTTGGAGCAATTCTAGTTGTTTTTAGAGTTTTTTGAATTAATGCAAATTGTTTCAATTCTCTTTTACAACCCCAAGTGTGAAACGTGACGTGACGTGGCGTCACGTGACATAAATTTCCATCGTTATATTTTTGTTAATATTGCTTTTAAATGAATTTTTAACGCAAATAAAACATGTATTTTATGTAGAATATACTTTATATTTTGACTTCAGCGCCAATTCAGGGTCAATTTATTAGAAATCTATGATTTATTATGTTTCAACCACATACGCCAAATTCGAACCAAATCGGACCATAAATACGGTTTTTCGAAATATCTCGACCTTGGCACCACCTAGGAAGACCATTTTATGCAAAAATGATTCTACTTACATAGCCAGTACATATTTTAAAAAGCAGACAAATCGGCCCGTAAATACGTTAGATATAAAACTTATTTTTTTGTCGTGGTGGACCTTCCGCTGGAAACACACATATGCAAATGAATATTATGACACAAAATGCATATTTTGGCGAAAAAGCATAAAAATGCATAAAACGATTATTCTGGTAATAAGTTAATTAATTTTCTCATAATTTCATCTGACAATACCAGATAGCCAGGGTTACTGACGATGTTTGTTTGATTGACAAGAGGAAAAGCTGACAAACAACGGAGAGTCCCGTTATTTTCTAATAAACAATTTTAGTATACTCTTAAAAATATTTCGATGCGTATTTTTAGTGAAGTTTCGCGCTTAACCAGTTTTTGTGGTTGAAAAATTCAATCAAAATTTTTCGTTTTTAGCGGAAGCTAGTTAACAGTTTCCAGGGGCTGCAACTGAGAGTTTTCAACTATACCTACACTGAAAATTGTATGCACTCTTCATTTTGTGATTAAAGAAGTATGAGAATGAGTTTTAACTGTCAAAATTGTGTACACTTCGCTTCCGAAAAACTCACTGAACTCACAGCAAGTAGCGATGCAGCCACTATTACAGAAGCGCTTAAGGTATTAAACTTTAATGCAAATCAGTAGACAGCGAGGCGACGAATTGCCAAATTGGCGTAATGGCATCTTAAATGAAGAAAAAAGCTAATTTGACCAAAATATATGTGCGAGAGTGGTAGCATTTTGCTGTGTCGCCCGAAAACCGAACCGTTGCCTATTGGGATATGTTAGGCCTTTCAGAATGCAATAAAAAACATATTTTTAAGTTTCAATTGAAGGTTATTTGGTCTGACAAGACTCAATTAATTGCTTTCAATCAGATGGCCGGGCATGGTATTGGATTAAAGACCCAAATTAAGCCATGCGCAACATGTGAGGCAAACTGTGAATCACAATGGTCGGTCAATAATAGTTTGGGGTTGTATTTAAACAATTTTGTGGGTCCGTTAGTACGCATTATGCGTAAGGAACAGTATCTGTTCATATTTCAACAAAATTTGCAAGATGTAGTCGAAAAATGAGAGTTTATGCTGAAAAATCACCCAAAAAATACTGCATATGTTCGCAAAGACTGGATACAAAATAAAAAAATTGCTAATTTGATACGACCTTCACAATCCGCGGACATAAATCTCATCGAGAATTTGCGAAATCAACTAGAAGCACAGCTTATTAAGTATCCAAGTCCGTATAATCGAGTACATGAGCTGTGAAAGCAAACTAAGGATATATGGAGGATATACCTCCAGAAGTTTTACAGAGATAAAAATAAGGTATGCCAAATCGCACCCAGAAACTAAAACAAGCTAAAGGGTACTGAACATTGTGTTAGTAGTTCTTTTTTCTCGTTAAAATTGTTAAAAAGTTTTAAAAAATATATGAGTGCAAAACTGTAACATCTGCCTTAATTTTCATATTTGTCTGCTGGTTTTATTATTGTTGTTGGATTGACTTCAAATCATTATGAGAGGGGAAACACAGGTGTACCAATATTAACATACAGCAAAAGTATGAAAGTCGTTAGAACTTGGAAACATAGCGATGACTGAAGGAAAAAGTGCTACACCATGTTACAGTTTTGCCCGTCACTGTATGTATGCAAGGTGTATTAAACAAGGTGTGATTGACAGCTCAGGTCGGCTCTCTTTTTAACCGACTTCCAAAAAAAGAGGAGGTTATCAGTTCGTCGGAATCTTTTTTTTTTTGTTTTATTTTTTTTTATTTTTTTTTTATGTATGTTACCGCATAACTTTGGACCACGTCAACCGATTTCGATAACTCTTTTTGCATCGGAAAGGTAGTGTCTCAGAGGTGGTCCCATACTAATCTGGTTAAGATCCGATCAGCGGATCATGAGATATATATATATATTTTTTTTTATATGGGAGTTGAAGTCGGTTTTTTTTTTGCTAAAAATTACTAGTAAAATACTATTATAATATAGACAAACGATTCAAAATTCATAAAATTGTTTGTAATTTGACTTTAGGATAGGATGGTTCACGGTGTAATAATAACAAGGTGTTGTCAGTAACTTAACCTCACTTTTTCGGCAGGCCTATTCCGGTCACGCATTTTAAAGTAGTAGAAAAAGTACTAATTATTTAGTACTTTTAATCCGTTCGTGCATACTATTTCAAATTAAATGTGGAAAAATATTTAATTACAGACTTATAAGACTGCATATATGTTTGTATCGTCAGCTCCACACAGGTTGGACATATATTGTAACTTATAAAAAAGTACAGGCCGTAAAATAAGGCAATTTCCTATAAAACTGTAAATGATATTTTAAATAGATTAATAATAATAATAATAATAATAATAATAACCCACACACCCACTAAGAGCCGACACAGTGTTCGTCGAGGAGCAAGCCGAGGCACCACTGTTTTCGACAGACGAGCTGAAGCTAGCCCTGCGAAGCATGAAAGCCGGCAAGGCTCCAGGCCCAGATGGCATACCAGCGGAGGCAATCAGGTTAGCAGCGGAAACGAGCCCTGATCTTCTGCTTAACATGTACAACAGCTGCCTTAGGGCCCGGGTTTTCCCAAGCCAATGGAAGAAGGCGAGACTGGTGCTTATACCCAAGGGCAAAGGGGACCCAAACTCTCCTTCATCCTTCCGGCCACTCTGCATGCTAGACACAGCAGGCAAAATGATGGAGAGTCTGCTCAAAATACGCTTGACGTCAGCCATAGAAAGCGAGGGAGGCCTTTCACCCCGACAACATGGCTTCAGGAAGGGACACTCAACTATAGGAGCAATTGGCGAAGTAGTCGAGGCGGTACATAAGGCCGAAGAAGCCTGCCACCAGGCGCGGCCAATAGTGCTGCTAGTCACACTGG